CTGTGCTGAGTAAAGCCTCACCACTTCTAGGATGAAGCCCATGTGCCAAAGCCCCTTTTTAAAGGCATTGCACAAGATGACACTTCTGAGCCGGGGATTTAGCTCAGTGGTTCCGGCATCTGCCTCACACGCGCAAGGTCCCAAGTTTGATCCCTGGTACCAAAAAAAAAAAAAAAAAAAAACCAAGATGACACTTCTCTGTCCACCCAGATTAGTTTCAGCCTTCCCAATGTTCACTGTGGGCTCAGGTGGTCTCCTCTCTGTTTCGTGGACATTCCATGTTCATGCTTGTTGTCACATGTTGTCCCATGTGGAACTTCCCGCCAGAGAATGTCCATAGCCCGTTTCCCCATGAAGCCTTCCTTCTGTTACAGCCTGCGTGGGTGTCCATGTCTCTGGATTTCTGTATCACTTGGGGTCTGAGCCACTCATTTTTGCATGTAGATATAACATAAAAAGTGACTAAAATACATTTATACTCACTAATTAATTCAAGAGCTTGTTTGTTTGTTTGCTTTGGAGATTGAACTCGGGGCCTTGCCAATGAGCTACATCCCCAGACTCTTTTTGTTGTTGTTGTTATTTTGTTTTGTTTTGGTACTGGGGATCGAACTCAGGATCTCTTGCTTGCCAGGCAGGCGCTGCCTCCAGCCTCTTTATGTTTTATTTCAAGATAGGGCCTCACTAGGTCATTGATTTGCCCAGGCTGGCCTTGAGCTTACAGTTAACCTGCCTCAGCCTCCCAGAGTTCTGGGATTACAAGCTTGTGCCAACACATCCAACTATTCAGTTCTATTTAAATGCACTCCGACCACCACCACTAGGATAATTTCAGTGCAAAGCATAATGCCGGTCTAATAATAGACTTTAAATGAATAATAGATGTTTTTTCTAAGGTGAGCAAATGTATTAAGTGTACTTTACAGTAATGAAGTACTTTGTTGTATACAAATTTTACCAAGCTCCAAGTATATAGGCATAAAAGTCATTTAAGTGAAGTATTTATTCCTTTCATAAAGATTTATTATGGTTTACTAAATGCCAGCAATGTGCTAGGCACTGATTCAAAAACAAGTCACAATCTCTAGGTCATCATCTAATGGGGAAGACAAGCATATAAACCCATAATTATAATTTGGTCCCCATAGATACAGATGCATCCATGGTGCATGGAGAAGAAGGCTTCCTGGAAGAGGTGACTCCTCGGTGGTTCTCAGAGGATGAGTGGTTAGACACGTGGTACTTCAGGAGGATAAAAAGCAGTACAGGCAGGGGACAGAGCATGAGCAAAGAGGTAGAGATGAGAAACAGCATGGTGCATGGGGAGGGGAGGACACATCATGAAGTCAGGTCTGGCCCGATAGAGAAATTGAATGGAGATTCCTCAGAAAACTAAAGACAGGGGTTTCATTTGATCCAATCACCCTTCTAGATATCTTTCCAAAAGAGGTAAAGACATCATATTACAGTGATATATGCACACCCATGCTTATAGCAGCAAAACGTAATAGCTAAATCTTGGAAGCAGCTTATATGCCCATCAGCTGATGAATGAATAAAGAAAAATGTGGTATTTGTACACAATGGAGTACTACTCTGCCATAAAGAAGCATAAATATGAGCCATTCGTAGGAAAATGGATACACCTTGAGACCATGATGTTAAGTAAAATCAATCAGACACACAAACTTAAGTGTCATTCATTTTCCCTCATATGAGAAACCCAAAGTATAAATTTAAAGAGTAAAGAAATGAAACTTGATCCTGTAGGTGATATTAGTGATATCCATTCGGAGGAGCCATGAAAGGGTTTTATAGAGAGAAAAGGCATGATTGGATTTATATGTTTAAGTACTTGTGCAGCCTAAGAGATTTTAAAAGAACCAGGATTGGCTGCAGGGAGACCAGTTGTGGATCATTACAGTAGACAAGGTAAGAGATGCTGAGGGCTTGGATTAAATGAAGGCAGGGACAGTTGGATGGAGAAAAGATAAGGTTAAGCATTACTTAGGGGGCAAAATTCACAGGATGCAGAGATACAGCTGCTGTGGCAGATTAGGTGAAGGGATGGAAAGAGCCAACGATGACCCTCACTTACAGGCTGGAAAATTGAAAGCAGCAAAGACAAAGGCTGAGGTCCTGGCTTATAGAAAGGGTGATGAGTTCAGGGTGGGCCGCATGGATTTTGAGGTTCCTGCAGCATCCTGCTCAAAGTGATCCCCTTGTATGGTCATCGAGTGCCTCCTCCTTGGTATTGTTCTTTCAGGGACTTCGCTACAAACCATTATCAAAGCCATTTTATCAGCTGCCTAAAACAGTCATCCATTTTGTAGGCCAAACTCTTATTGGAAGAAAAAGAAGAGAGAAAGAAAAGCCACACAGTGATATACATTGGTCTCTGATTTTCATAAAAGAAATAAAAATATGCTTTTTAAAGAGAAAGCCACTTCCTATTCACTAAACTGAAATCCTAATGAATTTTGACTCTTTCCAAATTCAAGCCATCCCTTAATGATGTAGACCTTGGGTTCCTGAGGCTGTGGAAAAGAGCATGCATCAGACCCAGAGGATTTCCGAGAGAGCAGCTGCAGAAACAGAGCAGTATGTAGGCCCCAGTGTCACCATGATAAGGACCGCAGTCAACCCGATGTCTTTGTTCTGATATGAAGGTTAAGAAATGTATTGTGTTTCTCTGTTCTGAGAATCCTCCAAGGAAAAGGTCTCTTCTTCCTCTCCTGACACAGGCAAGGCAGTGCACCTTTATTGTATTGTCTCAATTTCTTTTTTCAGAATACTGGGAGAAAACTAAGTTTTGTGCATTTTCCACCACACTGACCTCTAGATGCCTGACCCAGCCCTGGGCAGGAAGATGGTGGTAAAAATAAGAACTATAAAGTCTCTATAGATAAAATAACTGTAGGAGCCAGCAAGGTGGCCAGTCGTGAAAAAGACAGTGTTGTAAAAGAATAAGAAGTGCATCCACTTGAAAGTAAATTCCCCGGGCCATCTGCCATAGTTGTTGGCACTCTGTTAAGGGAGGAGCACATGTATTCTCTGGCCCTGTTGAGAGTTCCTGACCTCCAGTCACACAAAGGATCCCAAAGGCCAGCAGGGCTTGGTTATAACTAAAATAAAAAATAGGGTTTAGGCAACCCAGGAAATAAATGGGGGCACAATAACTACTGTGGTCATTTCATGAACCCAGCTAACACATTGAGTCTCCACCAAACCACCAGTCCTCGTAACTATATCACACTTATTAACACTTACTCCTTTTTACACTATAAGAAGTGGTTGTAGAATTATCTGGAAGCTGTCTCCAGCATAGATACACTAGCGTGTGTAACAAACCAAGCTCTCATTTTCTGGATGAGTCAATTCCTGTTCCTTAGTTTCTACCAAGCATTATACACTACAGTTATTCTCAAACATTATACACTACAGTTAGTTATTCTCAGCAGTTAACCAGAACATGAAGACAAGAGAAAAGACTCCCCCAGCTCCGGGCTCACCTGCTCCCCAGGTGGCCCAGCCCTCCACTGGGAAGTGCTATGGGGGCTAAGTGGAAGCATCATTAGTGTCTCCACATCCCTGAGTGATGGTAAGAGCTGCTGAGTGTTGTCAGCCTCAACTTGACCATGCAGCTCCCTTTTAGACCATGTGGATAAAGCCCTGCAGGATTGTCTAACACTTCCTAGAAGGAAGAACTTCTTAAACAAGACCTTTTAGCTGATGAATCAAACACTCTTCTTTCTTTCTTTGATCATTAAATTCTTATGTATCATTATCAAGCCTTATACCAGAAGTGGAAATATGGAGAATGCCCCAATTACAGTCAAGTCCAGCCCCTCATAGCAGCCCTGGGAGTTGCTACTTCATTGGACAACCTGAGTCCCTCCACTCCATGTGAGGGTACTTGCATGAAACAGTGGCCAAACACATAGACTTTGGAGTCGAGCAACTCCCAGCTCCTCCTCTTACAATATGTAGGGCCCTTGGCATGTTCCTTCAACATCTTTATATCTCCATCCCCTCATGTGAAAAGTGAAAATAAAATCATTTCTATTGTAGAATATTTTGAACATTAACTGAGATAACATAAAGCACTTAGCACAGTGATTGGAGTAAAGAAAAGTACTCCATAAATATCAGCTTTTGCTATTATTATCATTATTATATGCAACAGTCTGTGGCAGGGGGACAAAGCATGGGCTAAGAGTGGGGCACATGTCCTCCTCCGTCATTCTGTGCAAGGTTGGGGGACAGCCACAAAGAGCAGTAGGTGCCCAGAATGGTGAGCTTCCCAAACTGAGGAGATTTTCAGGTTGGACCCAAAGATTTCCCAATGAGATTTTCAGGTTGGACTCGAAGCTGGTAGGAGAGCAGAGTTATCAGAGACCACACTTGACAGCCTGCAGTGCAATATTCTCAAGCCAGGTGGCTTCCAGAAGTGACCAGCATCTTTTTGGATTTTCATTTTCTAAGCCCTGGATTTCCTTAAACCTAGAATTCAACTACTAGAAATTACAGTGTTGTGTTTTTCTTCTAAGAAATTAGTATACCTTTGCCTCCTTGTGCTCTCCTTTTTGCCTGGTACTCTTGCTACCAAGTACATCATATTCTAACCACCAGTTCTTTCCCCCAAAACCAAAACTGTACACCCTCATACTCCTCTAAGAGAGCAGCTCCTGCCATGGAATGCCTCCAAGCTGCTAGTCAACATCATCCCGACTGGTTGGTCCCTCTTTGTTATTTCACAACTGCCTCTGAGCTTTCCACTTCCAATTGGGTCAGCTATGGATTTATTTAATTTGTTTTGGCATGGCTGTTTTACTTCTGTTTTGATTTGTTCTCATTTAATCCTGAAATAGCACAGCGTAGAGCTCTATGGCCCAAGTCCCCTTCCGAACTTCCTGTTTCACCCAGGTGGTTTGTTAGTAAGTGGTGGCTGCCTCTTTGGCTTGAGCGAGATTCATTCAGCCTCTTCTTTCCTCTGCCAGGTCAAGCTGGGAACTGCCGGACTTGAGGGAAGGGAGAGTAAAAGCCATCAGTGACTCAGATGGGGTGAGCTACCCTTGGTATGGGAACACCACGGAAACTGTGACCCTCATTGGCCCCACCAACAAGATCTCCAGGTTCTCCGTCAGCATGAATGACAATTTCTATCCCAGTGTGACATGGGCAGTGCCAGTGAGCGACAGCAATGTGCCACTGCTAACAAGAATCAAGAGGGACCAAAGTTTCACTACCTGGCTGGTGGCCATGAACACCACCACCAAGGAGAAGATCATTCTGCAGACCATCAAGTGGAGGATGAGGGTGGACATTGAGGTGGACCCTCTGCAGCTGTTGGGACAGCGGGCCCGGCTGGTGGGCAGGACTCAGCAGGAGCAGCCCCGGATCCTGAGCCGGATGGAACCCATTCCCCCGAATGCACTAGTGAAGCCCAACGCCAATGATGCCCAAGTCCTCATGTGGAGGCCCAAGCGGGGGCCACCCCTGGTTGTGATCCCTCCTAAGTAGAAACAGACTGGCCTGACTGTGTGGAGCACATGCCGCTGAGACACGCAGTGAGGCTGCCACGGGTGGCAGGAGCCAAACTGAGTTTCTGAGCCAAAGCAGACCTCTTGGTTTGCCAGCCTTTGCAGCTACTTGTGAAAAGTACAGCTGCTCCTTGGGTGGTAGAACCATAATCCTTACGAAAAGTCCTTTCCTCTTAGGAATAAAGAAATCACTGATTTGACAGACTTGCTGATTACCATGCAAGTAGCCATATTTTGGAGCTGACCAGGATGATTCTTTTATTTGAACTATTGACCATTTCTTTCCTGTGAGATGCAGGGGATGGAAATGAAATTAAACAGTGCCTGTGGCGAATGCTGCTTCCCAACCAATTAGAAGTGGGAGTGAAAACATCTACACCAGATGTTCGTAAGACAGTTCCATTGTCTGACGGGGGGTGGGTGGGTGCTGGGGAAATGGGTAGAATGAAAGCCAGGTGGTAAAAGAATGGGTGATGGGCAAAGGAAAAAATAAGTTGTTGTCACAAATTAAATCTTGTGCATTTATTCATTGGTCATCAGATTGTGAACACACAGGAATGAAAGGAACATGAGAAAAAGACCTTCTGGGAACTGTCCGAGGTGCTGATGTAAACTAACCCATGGAGATTCTTGCCGGCTCCATCTACCCGCCTCTTTCCAGAAAGACTGCATATTCAAATGATTCTTAGTCATAGTATTTGGATACATAGTTCCTGAATTCTGCAGTAGCTATTTTTCAGTCCCTTACCATGTTTTTACTGTTAGCCAAATTGTGATTTTTGTTTACAGCTTCTTATTCTGTTCCCATCACCAGCCCTGACTTTACAAAAAAAGACTTATAATTCACTTAAGGTTTCAAGAACACTTCAGCAAATAAGAATGGTATTTTCATTCTTTTTTCTGTTTTTAGGTTCTGAATAATTGGCACACGTAAAATACAGACATGCACAAACACAGGCATAAGCACACACACAAACACACACACACACGCACATGCACACAACCAGGATGCATATAGCATAATAACTAGCAGATTTGCCAGCAGTGCCTACATATATACCTGCAGCCTCTGCAGATACACAGTACGTACTATCTATATCTATATCTATGTCTATATATAGAGATGTCCATATAGTTTTATTTTAGCTCTGTTTCACAGATGTTTAACTGCTTAAGCATTTATGAAAAAGTGCTTCCTAAGGCCTAACTTTAAAGTTCTTTAATGAAAATCTGGGATACTTACATTAAGCAAGCTTGTATTGCTGAGATTCACCCAACAAGGGTGGAAGGCCAGTTTTCCTTTAGTGGAGCCAATATAAAATTCTTTAAAGAGATTCCAGTCTTTACCATGAGAATTTTTCAGCTCTCCCAACTTAAATTACGCTCCCAAAAGAGAACTTTTCCCTTTATTTTCAGTGGTGCAAATTACAGCACACACACAGTTACACAGAGATACAGAGAGATCCTTGTTCAACTCCCCTGCAAATTAATTATGAAATTCTCACAATGTTGTTGTACATTTAATGCATGCATACTGTAAGACTAATTTGAGAAGCAAGAGAGTTGAAGTCCAGAACAATTCCAGTCCCATGGTTGGCTCCAAAGATTTATCTTCTACCAGAGTTTAGGGATGGAAAATGACAAGCAAGCAGGATTGTTTATAACTCTTATTTAAAATGTAGCTTAATGCAACTTCTTCCCAATTCTAGCCCCAGAAGATGGGACTGGTTTACATGAGGGAATGAACAGGCACACACCACCCATCAGCTATTCTTTTATAGATTAGTTATTGATGGCAAGTTATTTATAGCAACACATTAATGGCACTTCAGTGCATGACAGAAAACCTGGACACATTCCGTTTTGAAATAATTCACTTGTTACATTTGGATTCCTCTGGCTGTCCCTTCTGGTTCCTCCCTATTCTTTATGAGAGAGGTAGCCCCAGAGCGCTCCATGGCAGAAGTATAAATCTGCTTCTAGTCCACACTGACATCAGAAACAGCAGTCTCTCCCACAGATTGACTTAGATGCCGCCTATGGAGTTTCTGGGGTGTGAACACTGATCCTGGAATATAATCCATACAGCCCCACTTTAAGAAAACCTGGTTTTTAAAAATCCAAAATTATAATGATCAATAAGAAAAAATTTATGTTACAAAATCTTACGCAAGGTTTCAACTTTCAGATTTCCCCAGCCTGTGAGAATAAGATATGACATAACACAGTGATGTTTACACAAAGATGTATCTGTATTTATTAAATACATATCTGTACTTAAGCCAGGTGCAGCATGTTTAGCTAGACTTGTTCCTCCTGGAAAAAATTACACTTTTTTAGAGTTTTTTCTTGAATCACCCAAAGCAGTTTTCTGGGAAATTGTGTAATCAAAAAATAAGGAAAAAACAGATGGGAAAGTCCTTCAAAAGCACTATGCAAATATAGATTACAATTATTGTCATTGATACTATTGTGAACTCTACAGTTAGTTCTCTCCATTCTGGAATCAGCCTGGCAAAACATTTCTATTGCCTTGTAGTCAATTATTTTAAAGTTATTGTTTTACAAGGAAAAGACCCCTTTTCTCCCAGTGATCTGTGGATCACTCCCTTTCAGCTTAGTCAGGATGTTGTGAAGTGAAAGCCTCTCTAACGAGGGAGCATTAACCTTGGAATCTCTGTTGGGGTCATCTGCATCTTCCCATTCTCTGCCTTGCTCTGAGATTGCCTTTCAGTTGAATGGGGCTCATTCAATGGCTTAAGTTTTAAATGGGTGGTCTCAGGACTATATTTGTATCCTGTACACATACATGTGGTCTCTTGGTGACACAAGAGTTTTAAAGTCCTGTTAATTAAAGACCATTTCCTCAGATCTTAGATGATAAATGAGGTCTTTTAGTCCAGAATCTCAAAAGAAATTGAGGCCCTGTTAAATTAGGTCGTTTATTCAGGTCCCATGGCTGATCAACAAAAGGCCAGTGTCAGGCCCACATTCTCCCAAATCTCGACTCAAGGCACGGTCATGTTACCTGGGACCCACAGCCTCTTTGTCTCCAGCCACAACACTGTCATCATCCCTGGACCATTCACCCTAAACCAATTAGCCTAAAAGTTACAGAAAATTGGATTCATCTTCTAAAGGACAAGAGAAACCCTTTGTTACTATTACATCACAAAATGAATGCTCCAGATTCCTTTTTATCTGTGACAGCTCTTTTGACATTGAACCCTTAATCTGGGGTCTTTGCTGAAAGCATTTTGCATTTCCAGGTCATTGCCATGGGCCACAGCATATGGGAAAGTTAGAGGATAGTCCCCTTTCTGCCTCTTGTTCTGTAGACCTTTCTTGAGGTCCCTCTACTGGGAAAAATTTCCCAAAATTGGACCCTAAACCAGACATGGTGGTGCATGGCTATAATCCTACCACTCTAGGAGGCTGAGACAAGAAGATCAGAGTTTGAGTCCAGTCTAGGCAACTTAGGGACTTAGCAAGACCCTGTCTCAAAATTTAAAGATTAAAAAAGGGCTGGGGATATAGCTCAGTATGAAGGCCCTGGGTTTGATCCCCAGTACAAAAAAAAAAGCAGCAGTTCTGAGTAATATAAAAGAATTATGACTTATAGACTATTTTTACATAAGGTTTCCAGATGCATTTTCTTATCTCTGGAGACTCTTATAAAAAGTATAATATTGTATTATCATTATTATTATTATTATTATCCCCATTTTACAGATGGCAAATTGTGATCAGAAGAGATTGAGTGATGTATCCATAGACACACAAAGAGAAATGTCAAGAGCAGGACTCAAACTGGGCCCTTCGCCTCAGAATCTCGTACCCTTCCTCTGTGAGGTGCTGCTTCTTAATTCCTTCCTGTCTGGGAAGCACAGAAGACAAAAGAAGGAAAAACAAGTCACTTTCACTTAGTCATGGAGTCCTTACCTGTCTACCAAGCGGACTTATCAAAAATAAGAGATGAGCACTGCTTTGTTGTTCAGAGAACCTTGTAATCTCCCGGGAGGCTGGCCCAGGGAAATGTCTGTCCGCCTGCCGTGTGGTGAGCTGGCTGTCACTCAGCAGCCCCTAGCACAGTCTGAGTAATTAGTGGAATAGAAAATCTGCTCTCCTGGTCTCAGCATCCCTTAAATACCACAGGTACAAAGCCAAAGAGGAAAGCATGTATTCCGCAGCAGAGGTCCCATCTGAGGGGAGCCCTGCCACCACCATCCCTAAGCACAGCAGGCTCAGCCTGTGGGGTGGAGGCAGTGGGAACAATGGATTTCCCAGCCCTACTTGGCATATTGAACAGTCTTGTTAGAACAGAGGGCACAATTAAACATTGCCAGAGCCAGCTCCCAACTGAGTTGCAAAGAAAGATGTAAACACACACACACACACACACACACACACACACACACAAAGACCCACCACACTCACACACTTTTCAAGCTGAAAAGAAAATTAATCAAAAGCCCAGTGAATGCCTGAACTCTATAATTAAGCCTAAATGATCCTTCGATAGAAAGGGAGCTGAGTGAGCCAGCTCAGTGCCCACAGATATTTTTACCTCAGAGTCTTATTGCCATTAATTTCTTTTGAGATCTTGTGTACATCTGGTTCCATTCCCTGGTATGACATCTGCCTGTGGAAGGTCTTCCAGAGAGTTGCCAGTTCATTGGCCAGAGGACAGCCAAGGTTGTTCGGTCATTTTCAGAATGCATCCTGGGAGATGGGGTAGCATTGCCTCTCCCTCTTCCCCAACAACTGTGACCCTTCCCTGGACAGATCAAGATAGTCGGATCATGTCCAGATGTCTAAAGCATCGCCTGAGAGATGACATTGTCACCTTGGTAGAGCCATGGGGTCTGGAGCTGGTTGCAGACCCTCAGGTCTCTTCTACTTGGCAACCCCAAACCAGCTCAGGGAAACCCTTCTGCTGCCAGTCTCCACTCCCCCGTGCCACCTTGCTGGAGAGGCCTAAACACTGAGCAGCGATGGAAAGAAAGGCGATTACTGTACAGCCCCACAGGAAGCAGCTCAGGGGAGAATTCCTGGTAGGAACGCCAAGAGACCTTTTGGAAAGGCTGAGCCTCAGGTTTGGGCCAGACTTGAAATCCCTGCCCAATTCACTGAGTTTAAGTGGCCAGCGAAACCAGCTTGTTCTTCCTGTCACAGACTCAGGCCAGAGATAGGGAGAAAATCTT